CAAGGAATAATAAATCATGTTTAATTCGAAAAACATACATAATTCCTATTATAGTACATGCTATAATTGTAAAATGTAGCCCTCTAATCGAACGACGCGCTCCTGGTGGCAGAATAACCGTGCGACTTTTGTCGGGCCACTTTATAAACTGGCGGCTCATAGGAGTTTGGTCTCCTTATCTCTAATCTTCATGGTGCATATTATCACTGTTATCACAGAACATTATTGAATTCAGATGCCTAGTACTTAATTCATATTCTATGAGCGCTAGTGAAAGTTTCTAGGGTATCGTTGATAATAAAAGAATTTATGAGCTCCATTAAATTGTTTCTTATCATAGTTCGTTGGGCAACCATATTATCTTTAATCGTGATTGTACCTCTTAAATATTATTTGATACAATAATTATTAAAAATTATGGTAAAATGTGTTGTACATTAATTTATTTCTTTTATGTGACCCTTACTGATTTGAGGTAGGTTCGTGTTATCAGTAAATCGAAGAAGTGCACCATATGGTTTTATATAATCTGTGATAACATCATGTTAACCGGCTATAAATTCTTATCTATGATGTGATATGCTTATATCATATCATACTGTAACTGTATCACAGAATATTATTCTGGAGTTCTGGGCATAGTGTCAATAGATGAAATATTCTCATCATCTCGTCATTCTCATCTCTCAATTCTTTATTTCTGTAGTATATATAGTTTTTTACTGATCTTTATTTTTTATTATTATTTATTAATTATTGATTTATAGAAATAATATTAAATGTTGATTCTGACCAATTATGTGATTTTATAAGAAAAACAACACCAACATGTTCAAACTACAATACAATACCSGAGGGTGCCTTTTCCGCCACTTAAAAGTCAGTATCGGTTACACGATAGAAGCAGCTTACCCGAGTTCAAGTCGTGCTACTTCTAAATCGGTAGTGATCGATGGTAAATCATACCCTGAAGACGAATACACGAATATCACTCCAAAAATATTATCGTTTATCGGCGTTAACAATCATAATCGTTGCGGCCATCCTCTCAACTTGTTCAAACAGCGTCTGGTCGAATTTTTCTACGATCACTTCAAAGGACGGACGGGTAATCCGATTTTTTCTGTCTACGACAAAATTAATCCGGTCGTGACGACTAATGAAAATTTTGACTCTCTACTCGTGCCAGCAGATCACCCAAGTAGAAACAAAACCGATAGTTATTATTTGAATAAGACTCACATGCTCCGTGCTCACTGTACCGCTCACCAGTCCGAACTAATAAAAATGGGTTTGGACAACTTCGTAGTATTTGGTGATGTGTACAGGAGAGACGAAATTGATGCCACTCACTATCCCGTATTTCATCAGGCTGACGGTGTGCATATATTTACACCAAATGAATTAGAATCAATTCATGGGAGTAATGTTAATGTATTTGATAAAGACGGAAACGATTCAAACAGTGAAAAGCAAGGGGTTTACTCAAAAGAAGCCAATGAAATTGTTACTAATCATTTGAAAAAAACATTGGTCATCATGATACAAAAAGTATTTGGCGAAGAAGTTGAATACCGATGGGTATCGGAGTATTTTCCATTTACACATCCATCATTTGAATTAGAAATCAACTACAATGGTCAGTGGATTGAAGCTTTAGGATGCGGTGTTATTCGACATGAAATATTAAAAAATGCCGGAGCTGGCAACCGAATTGGTTGGGCATTTGGTCTTGGATTAGAGCGTCTAGCAATGCCATTTTATTCCATACCAGACATACGTTTATTCTGGTCTAAGGATTCAGGATTTCTCAACCAGTTTCAAAACCTACCCAAAGACGGACGAATGAAATATAAACCGATCAGCATATACCCTCAATGCATTAATGATATTAGTTTTTGGTTGCCCAAAGAAAAACCATTCTGTTCCAATGATTTTTATGAACTTGTTGGAAACTATGGTGGCCAGCTAATCGAACAAGTTAAACTTATAGACCAATTTAAACATCCAAAAACTGGAAATGTTAGCCATTGCTATCGCATAGTTTATAGACATTTAGAAAGAACATTGAGTCAAGCAGAAGTAAATGAAGTACACAAACTAATCGAAATTAATGCTGCACAAATTTTAGGTGTAAAATTAAGATAGCTAAATAATTTGATCTGTCATGACTGGTATTTCAGTTTGCTTATAACATTAAACGGATGCATGAACAAAACTGTATTTTAACTGTGAAGATTGTACATTAAAATCAGAAATTTTAACATCATACTTAGAAAATTGTACTTACTATTGGTTTGATAATAAATATTAAACAATATAAATAGTCTACTTACATTTGTATWAGACTAAATTACAAAATATATTGAAAAATATTATCATTAATGAATAATAATTATTAAGTGTTTTCTCAAGAAGTATTAAATTAATAAGAAATGTATTTTTTACAACTTTTTTTAAAACAACTTTTGTTTTTAACTTTATGTAGTGAAAACATTTTTTWATATTTTAACAATCAATCAAGAATAAATTACTATTGTATGTCTATCTACTTGAAATCCAGTATAACATTCAATATAAGCAATGTTTTTTTTTTCTGTTGCAAAATGTTCATAAGGTCTTCTGACTTCTTTTCCTGGTTAGAAAGAATAAAATGCTTTTAAGAAGTAAATATTGAAACTTTTATAAGCAGTTTGGTTAAATTAATGTTTAATAGA